CTTACTACCAAAAAGGCAATTCAGCCATGGGATGGGTAAACTCAGCGGACAAAGTGACAATACAGACTCCAAGAAATGAGGGCAGATTGATTGTGTGCTTGTCTGTATGTCTCTGCATCCACAAATGTATTTTTATTGTAAAAAGCTGCTACCTGAACAGTTTTTCTTAAAAAAACAAACAAACACAAAAAGATGGCTAACAGAAGAATAGTCTGGTCTGTGCACAAATAGAAATGCTTATCTTCTTTATGGTGTCTGTCTGTCTCAGCCCAGGAAAGTACCAAAGCCATCAAAACGTGATTCTATAAATGGCTTGATAGTGACAGCTTCAGTGGTCACACCACCATCAAAAACATCTTCTCAAACATTCTTACTCTTCACTCCTGATGTCAGTAATGTTCACAGTTTTTTTCCTCAGAAAATCTACAAAACCTCTGTGTGAATGTTTGACTTATGATTGATTTGAAATTTAGTTTAATAATTAGATAGCAGTTCTTTTTTGTTGTTGGTGTAGTCTCTTTAAGGATATCAGGGTGCTTTAAGGCTCTTGTATGGTTAATCAGATGCAGTTGCACTTGAACATATCACAGAGATTGCTGTCATATATTTTCTCTGCATGCGTTTCTCTCTCGCTGTCTCTCTGACACAGATGCATGTCTGCGCACATTGTAAATGCAAAAATAACGTCATACAAGCATAAGCATTAATATCAATGGCACCATCCCAGCTTTGGTCAGTATCATGGTCAACAACCAAAGCCAGAAGTGAGAACTGACATACTTATTTAAGCTTACTCTATAAACTCACACTGTTTTCTTCAAGCAGGCTACAAGAAAACAGAAAATAACCTTGATATAATATTATGTCTATTAGCGTGGAACAAAAACGAGAAGCTCGTTCCTCAGAAGGTCCTCAGAGACAGGATGAGGTCACCATATAAAAAAAAAAAAAAAAAAAAACCCCCCACATTATTATAGCACCTAGATACAGTATAATCACACAGATATTACAGTACAAGTTCATATTTTCAACATACACTTGGTATCAGTGTTTCGCCCGTTAACAAAAACACATAGCAGCTCATCTGAACTTTATCGTTTCTACCAAAGTCCTTGGTGGCACTGCATCTCTTAAAAATCCTTTAAACAAAAATCTTACTCTTAAAAACACTCACTCGCGTGTTAAAGTCAGATTGTGTTTCAGTGTTTGTGGGCAGAGAGGTAAGACAGACAGCCCTTGAAACAGAAATCCTGTGACAGCAGAATGAGTGGACTGAACGGGATCTCATGACAGAAAAAGACACGCAAAGAAAGAGAATGCGAGGGAGGGAGAAATGAGACTGAATGCGAATCCTATCCTTTGCGGAGGATGCAGGCGATAGGACCCAGGGGGAACCTAGGAACTTAAAACTGCTTTATTGTAGTGAAGCTAGCGGGAATAAAACGAAGCCATTAAAGGAACTTTGACATCTAAACCTTAAAGTTAAAAGCATGTGTTTAATGACGGCGATAGAACAATAAGCAGTAGTGTGCGTGTATGCCTGCAACTTTTTTGCTTAGTGGTTATTTTATTCCAAAGTAAATACAAGCAAATTAACCACGCGGATACTTTAACGTTAAAGGATTCCATATTTAATCATTTTTCCAAACTAAAATAATCTATTACCAAACGTCCCAAACTGTTCTCTATAGAATGACCACGGAGACGTATGTTGCCAGTGAGAGAGTAGACTAGATGTTTCCATTTAAGAAGTTCTTTAGGTTTAGAATGATCATAAATGCTTTTTTTTTTTTTTATATTTCCCCAATGCTGATACCCAAGATTACACCTGAGGAAAACCCAGTTTTATTGCACCTTTAGTGAACTCTGCTCCCCTTGTTCATGTTTTTCCCAGTTTGACCAGTTATTGGTTAATTTACAGCTCTTACTTCTTTCAAAACTCGGTCTTGATGGTAAATGGCAATGTCCTGTTTTAGTTTCCATTCAAACGCCACCCTGTTTTATTTTGAAACGTGTCACCGGACATTCAGCACGCGTTAATCCACTCCTCCTTACGCGGGTGCCTGGCACCCGGTGTAATGTGCACTCCTCTCCATTCCTCACCAACTCTAAGTCAGTCTGTCAGAGACCGTCTGAGCGCGCACACATACACAGAGCCCTTCATACAGTCTCTGGGGCACACGCGCGCACTGACGCGCACAGACACGCTGGCTCGCTCTGTCGGAACATAGAAGATAGGAGAGGAAAGGGAAGCGGAGAGCTCCCATTTATTTGCCCCCAACTTCCCTCTTTGCGTCTACTTGTGTCTTTCTGATTCTTCTTATCCACCAATGCAAGGATTTTATTACTCTTATTACTGCCACTGCTGTCCCGAACTAAGGGAAACAACTTTAAGGACCAGACGGGAGTATGTAAAATAATTCTTACTGCTGAACAAAACAAGAAGAAAAAGAAGGAAGAGATGGATAAACGGAGTAATTCTGGCGTTTGGCTGGCAGCTTTCTTCTACTTTGTACTTTGGGGACACACTGATGGACAATTCTTTCCAGGTAGTGAAGCAATTTATTCTTGTGTGTGTGTGTGTGTGTGTGTGTGTGTGTGTGTGTGTGTGTGTG